GCCCGGTTTTTCTCCTCAGGTGGTTTCGTGTATTTCAGAAAGGGTAATTTTATAGTAGCTTTAGGTTTGTCCATACTTTATTTATTTCTGGTGAGGTGTGGGTTGCTTATTATATATCTTTATAGACCTGACTCTCCTGATATACTGTTTTTTCTACTTATCGTAGTGCACCTGATTCTATGATGATGGTTTTGTATGTTGCCCTTCTTCATCATAATATTTCATTTTTTCAGCAGTATGATTATCCTATGCTGATCTTTGGCCATAACAAAGTTCCCTTTCAATTGGATTAGAAAAATCCAGTCCAATAATTCATAACGTGATGGATTGAGGTGAAAGGGATGCAGATTCTAGTTGAACTGCTCCCCTAAGCATTTTGACCAGGGAACCTGTGATGGACTGGAATAGTGGAGGCCAGAATCGGGGAGTGAAGATTGCTCTTTCATCCCCCGAAGCGCGGGGAAGAGATAAGAGGATGAGGCTGGCACCTCCCTGAGGAATGCAGACTATGTTTACTGACGGACCCGGGGAACTGGTTCCCTTCTGGGAAAATTCTTGATAGGGGTTGTAGGTAATAAACCTTGCTGGATTGAATCTGCATGGTCTCCTGGAGTTCCCTGGGCTAAACCTGACAGAACCCATCGTCCAGAGAGTTGGGGGCTCCCCTTCCCTGGGGAGGCTGAAGCGGAGGCTGGAACCATCTTCGGGAGAAGAAAGAGGCTTTCATTGGGATCCCTGCACTGGGCAGGGGGTGGACTAGATGACCTCCAAGGCTCTTTTCATCTTGTGGATGCTGTGAGTCTGCTTGTGGAGGGTGATTTCCAAAGTGCTGCTGGAGAAAAGTGCAGGATCAGCCCAGGAGGAGGAAAACTTCCTGAAGAAGTTCCATGGAAAGTGAACAAAGTGTTTTAGATCTAGAGTAAACCTGGTGTCTTGCAAACACCTGGGAAGAAGAGTTTTGGTGCCCTAATTGTGCTGCTGCACTTAAGAAATCTTGGGACAACCCGCAGTGAGATTTTCTGTGGAATGACGGTGAGCCCCATTTGGTCCTGGGTCCAAAGCCAATTCCTGCTCAGATGCCTTCACTCTGGGACCGGAGGGGGAATCTCCCAGCCGGGGCCGAGCAGGAAGATCCATGGGGGCTGCGTGGCTTCATTCCTGCTCCCTTCACTCCCCGCTTTGACTGCCCACATCTCCCTGGCAAGCACTTTGGCTTTGCCCCCAAGGGTCCCACCTGGATCCCTTCTTCCCCCCTTTCCCTCCCCCATTTTATAAAATCTCCCCTAAAATCTGCACCTGTTAGCAATCCATTTTGGCCCTCGTGAGGTGAGAATGGTTTTTTTTCCATGAATGGAAAGTTGGGGGTGACCAGGTGGGGTTTCCTGCTGCTTTTGGGCTTCTGGGGGGTGGAACCCCCGTTCTCTCTGTGAGGCAACTGCAGCCTCATTGGGGCAGGGTCTCCGCAATCCAGAAGAGGGTTTCACGGAGGCCTTGCTGGAAGGGGGGAGGGAACAATTTGGGGTGGCAGGTACGGTTTGGGGATCCTGCTCTCCCTCTGGCCCTGCTTTCCCTTCCCTTCCTCTCCCACCCCCCAACTTCTCTCTCCTCCAACCCTTCAGGCCCTCCAGAAGCTGCTTCTTTGCCTCTCAGTCGCTCCCTCTTTCTTCCCTCTGCCTTCTGTCCCTCTTCCATCTTCTCCCCCTTCCTTTCCCCTTCTTCCTCAGCCCCCCAGGTCTCTTCTTCCTCCTTCTTCCTCCCCAGGCCCTCAACTCGGGGCCTGCTGTGCCCCATAGGTTCAGGGTCTCTCTGCTGAAGCCCCCTAACTCTGCCTCTCTGGGTCCCTTCCAGGCTCCTCCTCGCACTCCCTCAAGTATTTCTACACTGCCGTGTCAGAGCCCAGTCAGGGGCTGCCCCACTTTGTCACTGTGGGGTACGTGGACGATCACGTCTTCGTTTACTATGACAGCAACAGCAGGAAGATGCGGCCTCGAGTCTCCTGGATGGAGAAGGTGGGGAAGGAGCACCCCCAATACTGGGACAGAAACACCCAGAATGAACGTGCCAATGAGGAGGTGTTCAGAGCAAGCCTGGAGACTCTGAGGACTCGCTACAATCAGAGAGAAGGTGAGTGATGGGTCTGGTGGCTCCTCCTGCCCCATATTCCCCCCCAGAAGCAGGAGGGGGGAGAAAGGGGTCCCTCCCAAGGGAAAGGCCACTTCCAGACTTTTTAAAAAGGTTATTTTAAAAGTATTTTTATGGCTTTAAAAAATTAACATAATTTTATCCTTGCCCCATAACTAAGGTTCTCTGCACAGAATACTTTAAAATATTTTTAAAGTAAAACAAAAAATTACATAGCACAGGAGTGATATACTGTAAAGGTAAAGAACAGACCAAAATCTCCTCCCCCCCCAATTCTCCCCCAGGAAAGAAGGAGAGCCTGGCCTTGATGGACATCCTGCTGTGGGGGAGTGTGAGAAATGCACTCAGGAGTCTCTCTCTGGGTTAGTCAGAAGTAAAGTTTATTGAAGCGTTTGCAAAGGCTGGTGGGCTTCGTTGCAAATAAGAAGCCGCCCCCCCTTACAGATTTCAGCACATTTTATACAATCCGATGCTGACGCTCATTTCTCCCCATTTCCCCATTGGCTGAGGTACTTTTGAGGTCACACTCTTTCTGTCCGCCTACTTCCTGTTACCCCCCTTCTACAAACCACTACATACTATACATACTACATACATCACATGTTTATGGTAAATAGGTGATTAGCTATGCGGGGTGTGGTTTTTATTAGGCTAATAAGGGTTGGGGGGCAAGAGTTCTGTTTATGGTAAATAGGTGATTAGCTATGCGGGGTGTGGTTTTTATTAGGCTAATAAGGGTTGGGGGGCAAGAGTTCATGGATTCCTACAAGATCTCTGCTAAGTATCACTTTGGACAGGTCAAACTGCTCCAAACTGGTGTTATCTCACACCAGAGACATCTCCCCACTCCTCTTTTCCAGCTTCTTGGAGCCCCTTGGTAACCATGGCAACGCCTCCTCTCCTTAGTTTGAGGTAGCTTCAGAAACAAAAGTATAGGAGGTATGCTCAGGAGCTATGGTCAGAGAAGGGAAGTTATGCCTAAGAGCAGAGTGGGGCAACTTCATATCATTTTTAACTGCCCACAATAACTTTTGGACTCCTCCTCCTCTCTCAGGAGGAAGGGAATGACAGGTCTCCCCCCCCCCCCCCCACGAAAGCAGGTGTTAGGTCTACAACGTCCAAAACCCAATCCAGAAGAATCCTCATTAAACCAGGCCTGGTTCAGATAAAATCTCCTTTAATGGAATGATACATGCAGCTCTAAGCAAACCATTGCTAAAACTAAAGCCCGCCTAACTTTGCCTCTACTTTTACCCCCTCTGCTCCCCTCTTCTTCTTTGGCGCCCGATTTCTTTCTCACCCAGTCGAGGCCTTGGAATTCCTCACCCTGATAACACCTCTTCTTCCTGGCCTTCGAGATGACACCAGTTCTGTCTTCTTTCATTCCCCCCTCCCTTGTTACAAATTACAGAGTCAAAGCAAGCAAACCCAGCATTTATTATCCCTAATACATCAGTCCTCTTTTGGCTGTTCTTTTGATTGCTGCAGATTCTGACAGCAGGTGGATCCTAAGAAGATCCCGGTGGAAGCTGATCCTTGTCCTCCTGTCTGTTTCCACCCCAGAGAAATTAGGGATCAAGTGCAGATCCAGCTGGCGAAACCAGATTCCTACCCCCAGGCTCATCCCATCCAAGGAGAAGCATTTCTGGCACCCCCTTTTTGGAGGGGCGAGTGGGCCCCAAGGGCCAGGGGTCTCTTCTCTTCCTCCAGTTGGAAGAAGAGACCAGGGATGTCAAGTGGGGTTGGGGCTCTTGGAGGGGCACAGGACCACTTCCAGCATCTTTCCCATCTGCGGGAGGGAAGAGATAAAAGGAAGAGAACCCTCGATTTGGGGCTCTTCCTGTACCGGTCAGATCTGCTGTGTCTTCCCAGCCATGGTCCACAAGGGCTGAACTCCTGCACTGCTCTCTTGGTGGGGCTGCCCTTAAGGGGGGAAGCCCTTCTTCGGCAGCCCCCCCTTCTCCCATCTTTGGGGGCACAAGATTCGTTTTACAGGAACCTTATTTAGAGGAGGGGTGTAAGCAAATGTGTAACTGTAGACTCCTTTTTGCTGAGACAAATCTTCTCCACAACCATAAGCCATTTTCTCTTTCATCACAAGGACATGCTGCCCCACTTCTTCTGCCCTTCTCTTGCCCCACACCAAACAGACACAAGAGCTTTGCTAGTTCTGCCCCTGCTCCAGGGAGGGCCTCCCCAAATCCCTTCCAGGTCCCCTCTGGCCCCTGAGAGACCCAGAGAGCAGCCAGAGCTCCCCCTGGTGGAGGAAGGAGGAAGGAGACCAACCAGGGCGGTGGGAAGCCCAGAAGACTCCTGGCACAGTCCTGAGTCTGTCAAAGTGGAGGACAAAAGAACCTCAGCAGTGCCCTGCTGGATCGGACCCCTGGCTCCTCTAGTCCAGCAGTCTGTTCCCCCAGTGGCCCACCAGCCGCACCCGGAAGCCCACTGGCCTCCCAGCAGATGGTCTTCAGAGCCAGACCCACTGCCATGAACGGTAAGAGCCGTGGATACCCTGGACTTCTATGAATTGGTCCAACCTTCTTTTGGAGAAGCCCAGCTGGTATCCAGCGTCAGTCCTCATGATACTGAATGCCAAAGTTGAATTCTGCATGGTGTAAAACAATATTTCCTTTTGTCTGTTCTGATTCTTCCAGGATTTAATTTAATTGGGTGACCTCTGGTTCAGGTCTCTGGGGAAGAGGGAAACAGCTTCTCCTTTTCCACTTGATCCACACCATCCCTGGTTTTGTACACCTTAGTCAGGTCCCCTCTTCTTTGCCTCCTTTTGAGGCTAAAGAGCCCCAAATGCCACAACCTTTCCTCACAGGGAAGCCGCTTCCGCCCTTTCATCCTCTGAGTCGCCCTCCTCCGACCCTTCTCTGGCTCCCTTGGATCCTCTCTGAGGTGTGGCGACAATATTCCAGAAGTGGTCTCACCTTTGATTTCTGTAAGGGCATTATGATATTAGCCTCTCTGTTTTCAATGCCTTTTTTATCATCCCTGACATACTGTTGGCCTTTTTTACAGTGGATGCCCACTGTGTCGACATCTTCATTGAACTGTTTCCCTTTACTCCAAGTTCTCTTTCCCCGTCTGTCCCAGCCCGCCCTGCTCCCAAAAGCTTCTT